CTTGCCTGGGATATAAGTGATTAAAATAGTCCACAGTAAAAAGTGTAATAATTTATAGATTTTACATATTACACATTATATAATATACATTTTGCCTTCCAAAAAATATCAAAAAAAGAATCTATTAGGAGCAAACCAATTGATTATTGAACCAATCTACTTCACGATCTACTCTATTAATCTACCACTTTTTTCTTTAAAAAAAGATGCTTGTACCATCCATAGTAAAAGTACAAACTGGTAACAAATTCTTACGAGAATTCTAAATGTTCTCAAGTAGACGATCCCTAAGTGATTTATATCACTCGTCCCACAATGGTTTAACTCCTTCATTTATCTCGCGATCATTAATCTCCCTTGTCTTATCCATATTTGTCGCGGAGTTTACCGGCAAATTACGCTTCTCGAGAAAGTGCGCACGGATAACTTTCGTTGACGAGAAGGAGAGGAAGGTGTCGCAAACTTTCTCGTGCCTGTTTATGTCTAATTTAAAATTTACCCCCGTCTTCCCCTTATCCTTTCTTTTGCATAAATATAACGCGTTCTCCTCTATGATTCAGGCGGCGGTTTCATAAAAAGTTTCACGACGTAACGTTTTTTAACAACATCGCCTTTTTCTTCTCGTCTTTCCTTCTATTTTTTGGGCATTTCGCCTGCAATTTACAATACATAGAAAAGTATGTCGCATTGCGACCCACATGGTCGGAAAAGTATATTCCCAAGTGTGAAATTCCTTTGCTATAAGCAATTTGCTATAAGCGAGCTTGTCGGTGCTATTTGTATAAACATCAACTACACAGGCCTGCGAGGTTTTTCTTTTTAAGATGCAATAGTGATTTCCGACGTAATTTTGTGAGCTGAATTCGAATTTGGCCGTCGAATTTGCGTAGCACGTCACGTTTTTGAGTAATTTGTAATTGAATGGCTCAAAAATCGGCTAATATAATGACCAAATATTTTGGCCAATTTTATGAATTTATTGCGAGGAAGTGGATTCGAAAGATGAAGATGAATACTATACGATGCCATTGACAGAAATATTTCAAAAAATTTGGTTTACTTACAATCAATTCATGAAATTAGCCAAAATAGCGATTTTTGGACTATTCAACTACAAATAACTCAAAAACCTGAAGTGCTACGCAAATTCGGCGGCCAGATTCGGATTCAGCGCTCAAAATTACATCAAAAATCACTATTGCATCTTAAAAAAAAATTTTGACCCTTTTTTTTGCAGGCCTGTGCTATTTGCCCCTCTCCACATTCATCATTTTCTCTTTCACCTCTTCGAAATTAACATTTTTCATAATTATTGTCCGCAAACTGTCGCCATAGATGCTATTTGCTAAGAGCACTATTCAGTGAAAGTTACTTTTCTTGGTCCCGAGCATTTTTCCTCTCTTCGAGTAACTTAGCCGTTTCATCGAGGTTCCTAAAAGTGTTTTCTTGTTTCGCAGCGGCGGGAAAAGAATCTAAAGAAGACGTTCTCGTATATTCTAAGATCTTTGTATTAGAGTATTTTTTGTGTTGTATCAGACACTCTAAAGGATCAAAGAACAATAGATATATTTGTAAAGAATGCGGAAAGGTAAATGTTTGTGAAGAGAGTTTGATAATGAATGTTGTATGCAAATTTATAATTCAATTTTAATGTTATATTATAGATATACGATAAATTATATACACGATTTAGAGGGAGAGTGAGAGAGCTTTTATATCAAATATCCTCAGTATTGAAGTAGTTCAATTTACGTACAAAATTTCGCTAAAGAGAAAAATTTGTTAATACCAGTATATGATTAAGAGAAGAAGGTTTCATGAATTCAGAAATACTATGTAGGAATCTGTGAAATAAGAGATCTATAAATCTAACTGTCTAGAAAACGGACGGTCTGCAAAGTAGAAGATCTATAAATTCATATGTTTGTGGAATAATAGGTCAACGAGATCAATAAATTCGAAGAAGATTAACACAGTAGTGTCAAAAAACAAAGTTGCAAGCGGAATTCCAACAAATAGTATCGAGATTTTTCAAATGTAAATGTATATTATCTTATCTTACATATTTATATAATTTTATGATAAAACTACATATAAAACAATATATTTTATTAATATAAATATCAATATAAAAATATCAATATAAAATCAATATACATATCAATATAAATATCCAGGAATGGGAAAGTTACTTTTTAAAAGTAACTCGTTACCATTATTACTTATTTTTAAAAATAACTAGTTACCGTTACCGTTACTTCAAAAGTAACAATTCGTTACTTTTCCCGTTACTTTTGATGTTAAAATAAGATAGAATTAAATAAAAAATTTATTTTGGTAATATTTTTTATTAAAATATTAATAAAAGCAAAACATTTTTTATTTTAAATTTACAAAACCGTAAAAAATTTAAAGAGATATAGATTTTAAAGCACTTAACATGTAACTTCACACGTAAATAAAAAAATTTTAATTACCATTAAATTTATAAATACAGCTAAATTTATATTTTTTTTTGTGCTCTTGTCCGATATTACGTCAAATTTAAAAGCTGGCCAATCACATCCATTCTTTAGAAGAATGGAATAACTGTGATTGACCAATGATGTCATTAATCGCTCTTAGAGGTGTCTGTGAAGCTGGCATGACAATCTATAAATTTCAAAAAAAATATTAAGAGTTCTGATAGCACTTTTCATAGTTTTACAGTTTCTTATAAAAATTAAAAAGAGTTCCTTATATTAAAAAATCGAAATCAAAAATATGTGCTAACTTTGCAAATAACTTTCCCTCTAACTCTAAAGTACCAAAACGCGTTGAATATTATTATTTTTAGCAAGAGTTCTGCTATAATTCAGCCTATATATTTCAGATCGATATTCCAAAAATTAATAATTTTTTATGAATTTTTAATGTTCTTGACCAGCATGACATTTAGTGAAAATGTGTATGCTAATGATTTTCCGTAATTTTAACAACAGTTGTGGACGGTTCTATAAAAGTTCTATCCTTTAAAAACATTTTTACGCAGAGTTCCGACCGTTTATTATTTTATAAATAATTATTTATTTAATTTTCATCGTGTTTTACTACTTTAGAGGCAAAGTCTCGTGCTGATTGTAAAAAATTGTTTCTAAAGAATAAAACTTTTATAGTAATTGTAAAAAAACTTTATAGTAATTGTAAAAAATATAGTAATTGTACTTTATAGTAATTGTAAACTTTTATAGTAATTGTAAAAAATTGTTTCTAAAGAATAAAACTTTTATAGAACTGCCGTTAAAACTGCGGAAAATCATCAGCGCAACACATTTTTACGAAACGTTATGCTGATCAAGAACATTAAAAATTCATAAAAAATTATTAATTTTTGTAATATCGATCTGAAATATATAGGCTGAACTATAGCAGAACTGTAGGGAACTCTTGCTAAAAATAAAAATATTTAACGCGTTTTAGTACTTTAGAGGGAAGATTATCGTGCTAGATTTGCGAAGTTAGCACGCAGTGTTTGCTGTAGATAATTTCAAAATTATCTAGATAAAGATAAAGACAAAAATCCGTAAATTTATCTTAGATGAGATAAAGATGATTTTGCTTTTCCTTAATCTAGATGAAAGATGAGATAATTATTGCGGTAATCTAGATAATTATCTAGATATTTTTGTTTATTTTAGAAGACTAGAAGATAAATATTTGTAAAAAATGTGATGCAGATTATAAATGGGATATTAAATCATAAACACATATTCTTTCTCTTTTCCTAAAGAATATTTAAATAATAGCAAAAAGGTATATAAATGATATGATAAATATTTATTTATTAATTTATATTTATAATATATTTATAATATATTAATAATATAATAATAATATATTTATAATATATTAATAATAATAATATAAAAAATATATTTTAGATATTTTAGATAGATTTTTAGAAACATGCCTGGAAAACTTTTTTGCATAATGAAAACGTCATCTTAGACAATTTTTAGATAAGATGACATATTTTTCATCTAAAATAAAGATAAAAATACTTTGTATTTCTTCATCAAGTTAAAGATAAAGATGAGCCATTTCTTTATCTAGATGATTCTCTAGATCTAGATAATTTTATCTAGATACCAGCAAACATTGTTAGCACGACATTTTTTTCGATTTCGATGGAAATATGGAGGAATGCAGAATTCTTTTTAATTTTTATCAGGAACTGCGTGCGTGCGTGCGTGCGTGCGTGCGTGCGTACGTGTACATATTTGCAAGATTGTGTATCGATCAATTATGCTTATCCTGTTTGATCTTGCACTGATATATGTCAATAAGTGTATTGTTTGCGCTATCACGAAACTTATACAAAAAGGTGCTATCGCAATTTCTACCGCAGCTTGTTATTGAATCCTTTATATGAAAGAAAAGTAATTTTCTTTATTACCGGATTTATTACTGTTACAGCGACAGTTTGTCATAGCAATTATGCTTCAGCTTTTTCAACCTTGATGAATTTTTTTCTTGTCTATATAGACATTTAAATCCTATTTGATGAGCTATTATATTACTGTAATTATGCTGAAAATAAACGATCACGAATGACAATCATGCTAGAAGAAGTAAGTACAGATTTCTAATGAAATAGCTAAATGAAAATTGAAAATTATAATTGAAGAATTAAAAATATAAATTTTTTAAAAGATTTTTTCTTATATCGCTTTCTCAACAAAATTATCGAAGCTATGCTTATTTGAATTTATGTGATATTTTGACGTGAAGTCACCTATGCAAATTTTTTTGAGCAGTGTATATTATAATCAAGAAATATTTGTTATACATTCTCTTAAATGCAAAACATTTTATGATTTAATATTTCTTCATTTCATATTTTTATCACGTAATCATTTGATTATTACACGTGGGTACTTTTTTTCTCTCAGTTTCCCGACTGAAATCTTTTCCTTGTAAGCATAGGCGATTACATTTCACGGGACAGTCGTTGATGTACCATGGCAGTCGTTGCGAGAATACAGGATCATGATCCAAAGGCGAAGCCATTTCTCGGTGGATGGAGGAACACCGTTACTGGCCTAATCTATCACAATGCCTGTACGCAAACACACGGCGGATGTACAACGAAGAGTAGAATTACGCAAACTATCGCGGTTGTAGACGCGATCACCAACATTGTTCACGATCAGGCGATACAAGTAGAGTTTTTGCCTGATGTGCGCGATAAAATCATTTCGCCTGAAACGTTTTCCTTTCTAACACCGGCAATGGAAGAAACTAAGCCGTTAGTTTGTCAAGATAACAATAGCATTTTCGATAGCGTTATTAAAATACAGAAATATTATAGGTAATGTCAATCTCTCTTGTTTTACATAAATAATATAATTTTCGCAAATGCATGTGCAATTTAATATTAGAAAGAATGTTCAAATTTATATAGGAATCATGTATGTGTAGTTTTTTTAAAAATATATTTATAATCAGTGTTTGCTGTAGATAATTTCAAAATTATCTAGATAAAGATAAAGATAAAAATAAATTTATCTTAGATGAGATAAAGATGATTTTGCTTTTACTTAATCTAGATGAAAAATGAAATAATTATTGCGATAGTCTAGATAATTATTTAGATATTTTTGTTTATTTTAGAAGACTATAAATATTTGTAAAAAATGTGACGCAGATTATAAATGGGATATTAAAATCATAAACACATATTCTTTCTCTTTTCCTAAAGAATATTTAAATAATAGCAAAAAGGTATATAAATGATATGATAAATATTTATTTATTAATTTATAATTATAATATATTTATAATATATTAATAATATAATAATAATATATTTATAATATATTAATAATAATAATATAAAAAATATATTTTAGATATTTTAGATAGATTTTTAGAAACATGCCTGGAAAACTTTTTTGCATAATGAAAACGTCATCTTAGACAATTTTTAGATAGGATGACATATATTTTTCATCTAAGATAAAGATAAAGATGCTTTGTATTTCTTCATCTAGTTAAAGATAAAGATGATTCATTTCTTTATGTAGATAAAATTATTTATATGATTATCTAGATAATTTTATCTAAATACCAGCAAACACTGTTTATAATCAATTTTAAATTGAATTCTTGAGTATTGAAGAATAAAAATAATGCTAAATAAAATAAGCGGGAAAGGATCGTTAATCTATTTTACGCAACTTAATTTGGTAAAAATGTATTTTGCATATTAAGATGAATGAATGAGTTGAAGTGCAATTACCGACTCCAATCCGTTTACAGGGCTTATCGAGCTAGAGCAAATGCTCTCGAAGTGACTAACATCTCTCAACACGACAAGGCGAACGTGCTCAAGCACGCGAGACATTTGCAGGCACTATCCGCCTACAACAGCATGGATTTTGTGATGTTGAATCGCCGTTCACCGCGAACTCGGTCGGACTTCGAATCCCTCTATAATCTTCTCGATCGTTGGCGAATTCTCGAGATTGAGCGGGCGAATAGCACGCTTGTCGAGTCCTCCAGGATCGCCGCTTGCGGCCTGATCCTGTCCAAGGAGATCGAATTGTTGCGTGCGATAGACTCTAAGAAGACTGCCGTCTGGCTCAAGTGCAAGGAACAGAAACGACGCAAACTTCTGGATGAATTGTCTAGACCCGTCGTCTGGCAGGACAGTCGTGGCCAGTCGATTCTGGTGGATACTCTACGCGTTCAACGAGCCCGCCAGCACAGAAACATGTACACCTCGTTAGCCAACGAGAATCTGTCCGTTTCGGAACGGATCGATTTACTGCGTGATCTAAAACGCGTCACCAGCCTGCACATATGTAACCAATCCCACGAGCTCGTTTATCTGATCAATCAAGAACTGGATCTATTGGCATGTCGAGTGGATACGAGCAGACTCAACTGGCTCAGGAACCGACTGAAACTGAGCTTTCTCAAGTTAGCGCGTAACGCTCTGCAAGGTCTTTTAATCCTCTGTTTAGTGTCTTTTAATCCTCTGTTTAGCGTTAACGACAATTTTTTATTTTTTATTTTTTTACTTTTCTAGATACGAGAAAAATGGTGTTATAAGATTATTAACTTTTTACTCAATAATTGTTTCTTCAAATAGTTTATTGAAACAGTGAATAACATAGACCTGCGAGGTTTTTTTTTTAAGATGCAATAGTGATTTTCGACGTAATTTTATGAGCTGAATTTGAATCTGGCCGTCGAATTTGCGTAGCACGTCACATTTTTGAGTAATTTGTAACTGAATAGCTCAAAAATCGCTATTTTGGCCAATTTCATGAATTTATTGCGAGGAAATCAAATTTTTTGAAATATTTCTGCCAATGGCGTCGTATAATACTCACTTTCGCTTTTCCAATCCACTTTCGATTACCGCTGCACGATTTTTTTCGCTGAGATATATAAGTATGACGTTGTAAGAAAATTTATGTTAAAGAAAATTTATATAGACATCAATATAGTAGATCCATGATCTTGAAATTTGAAAAGACTGACATATGTCAGGTTCGGTTGGCCAAAAAAATATTTTAAAGAAACGTCTAATATAGTTGTTACATATTTTGATAAATTTGTCTAAATTTTGTCTTTTTATTGTGATTCTATTTGCCATATTGGATGCGCCATTTTTAATTTTAAAAGGTGACAGAAGGTATTTAAAAATGTATATTTTTATCCTAATTTTGATTCGTAGTGAGATAGAGAGCTGGTTTGATTTAGAATGGCTTATTAAATCCCTATGCATGACCAGTCTTATAACTTGTATATCTAAGCGAAAAAAAATCGTGCAGCGGTAATCGAAAGTGGATTCAAAAGATGAAAGTGAGTACTATACGATGCCATTGACAGAAATATTTCAAAAAAATTTGGTTTACTCACAATAAATTCATGAAATTGGCCAAAATAGCAATTTTTGGGCTATTCAACTACAAATAACTCAAAAACCTGACGTGCTACGCAAATTCGGCGGTCAGATTCGGATTCAGCGCACAAAATTACGTCAAAAATCGCTATTGCATCTTAAAAAGAAATTTTGATCCCCTTTTTTGCAGGCCTGTGTAATTAAAGATTTTAATTTTTGTAAAAAATAACTAAGTCCATATTTCTTTTTTCATCTCTAAAGTATTAATTTCAGAGAAATATTTTGCAGATTATGTTTTTGATTGGTATAATGTTGCTCTTAAAGGAAGAGAGAGACTTTGTGTGTGTTCATAGTGTAGCATTATCTTTATATCTGTCTTTATTCTTATGGTTTTATCATGCATTATCTTTCTCAGATGACCTCGAAGAGGACATGAATAGATTCGGTTGGGCGGATACCAGTATTACACGGCTCTGTAGGACTTGCGATAGGCTTTTATCTCTGGAGAAGTTTCCCCGCGAACAGCGATTGCGGTCTTCTTCTTGCATCTACTGCACATCCATGCGAACCCGGAGAGGTCCTCGCGTCGTGTACGAACTTTACGAAAGGATGTTACGGGAAATCAGGCGCTTCGAAGCAAAAATGGGCTGCTACAGCAGTTTAGCCTTCGTGGTTGGGGCTAAAGTCGTTTGTCGTCTGGTAAACGAAGTCTGGCATGGAAGATCTGGTATTTCCGAGTGCGACGATCTCGACCAGCTGATGTTGACTCGCTTTCGAAGCGAACTCGAATGGGCGCCTTGGAATTCTTTATTATTGACAAAGAACGAAGCTGCAATTCATCATAATATCACTGATATCGAGGATTTCTACGACTTAATACTCCTGCAGAAATTTTGGACGAAAAATCTCCAGGCAAAAATATACTTCGAATCGATTTCTCAAACGCGAAGAAATATTGTGACACCATCTTCTATGGAAGATCAATAATGTACTTTTTTCTTTTAATTAATAAATTAAACAAAAAACATTAAATAGAAAGAAAATAAATATTTTTTACATTTTAAAGAGAAAAACGAGCAATCTTCAATTAAATTTTAATCTTCCCACGTTATGTTATGAAAGGATATCGTGTTATTGCTTTTTGGCAAAAAATAGAAAAGTTGACGAAGTTATTATATTAGCGCATTTTTCTTATAGAAATTTAATTCCCGACATAAAGAACATACACAAGAATATGTTGGAATTCCAGTTGTGACCCGCGTAATCTTTACCCGTCGACGAACGTTTTGGAGCGAGTATAGTACACGTGTTACCACGACGGTTTCGCGAGAGAGGTTGGCAAGTTGAAGGTATCGTCCTAAGCCAATTACCAAGTTGTAGAGAAACGCGCCCATCTCCGGACGTTGGCCGTTCGTCCTAGAGAAAGTTGGGCGTTGGGGAAATACGTTGAGCTCGCATTATAGTCAAGACATTGTTGTTTCTCGCGTTTTCCCGTGTCGCCTTCAAGGCAGAATGTCCTGGTCACGTTGATAGCGCTAGTTAATCGTATTGCAGTTTATGAGCTAAGTTTCTACAGGAGAAAAGAGTACAAAAAGAACATCTCAGCTCGAACATTTAAATGTTGTCCACGTGCACGACTATTATTGTAACATATTTCTTGTTTCCTTTAACTTTTATAAGATGATTACAGATCAAAAAGTTACTGTGTATCAAGATAGACGTAATTATGATAAGAATAGCAGCGAAGATAATGATAAAAAAGTTGTATTAACATAAAAATATTTATCTAAATTAAAAATGATTTATTGTTCCTATAAACAAAATTATATTAAATAATATTAAGATTGAGATATAGAAGTTATCAGTTGAGACACAAATAAACAAATTATATTTATATTCTTTGTATATATATATATATATATATATATATATATATATATATATATATATATATACACCGTGGCCCATTTTAATCGACGCACCTGAATATCTCCGTTGATAAGTCGAATACAAAAAAATTGTTCAAAAAAAAGTTGTATGATTTCAAGGGGGACATGAGATGGTGTCATTAGTTTGATTTTGAAGAGCCACCTGAAGGTCACGTGAAGGTCAGCTCCAACTTTTTAAATGGGACACCCTATATGCTTTTGCATATTTTTTGTAGCTCATCTAGAGAGCTTTCCAAAACACTATAATTAAGTTAGTTTTCATTAAATACTCTTCGAGTTATGAGGCTTGAAATAATTTCTTAATTTTACATAAACCGTAAAATATCTAGTAAAATATTCATTTTTCGATTATCTTACCTTAATACTTTTATGTACAAAATAATGAGAGGAATCAATTGGTGTAAAGAAAACATACAGTTGTTTTTAAGAAAAAATATGGAATTATTAATTGCAAATTACATATTTTTTTTAAAAACAATTATGTTTTTTCTTTACACCAATTGATTTCTCTCATTATTTTGTGCACAAAAGTATTAAGGTAAGATAATCGAAAAATGAATATTTTACAAGATATTTTATGGTTTATGTAAAATTAAGGAATGATTTCAAATCTCATAACTCGGAAAGTACTTAATGAAAACTAACTTAATTATAGTGTTTTGGAAAACTCTCTAGATGAGCTACAAGAATATGCAAAAGCATATAGGGTGTCCCATTTAAAAAGTTGGACCTGACCTTCACGTGACCTTCAGGTGGCTTTTCAAGATCAAACTAATGACACCATCTTATGTCCCCCTTAAAACCATACAACTTTTGTCTGAACAATTGTTTCGTCTTCGGCTTACCAACGGAGATATTCAAGTGCGTCGATTAAAATGGGCCACAGTGTATATATATATATATATATATATATATATATATATAATCCTCAAAAACTTACCTTTTTAAAAAAAGGTAAAAAAAGGGCGCCAAAGTTCATGCACTAATTGTATCCAACTGTCATATTGTCTACAAAAATAGTGATATAAAAAAATTGCGCCAACTAAGAATAAAAATTTGTACAAGATAAATAGTAAAAAAAATTTTAATTAAAAAAACTTGGCGCTGCCAATTTTATTAATATATTGTTCAGCTTAAAAGTCTAAATTTTCAAATCTAGAAGATCTTAAGAGAATTAATAATAAATGTCCAGCAATTATATTTGCTGTTAAACATATATTTAATTGGAATATATGCCAATTTTATTGGCAGCGCCAAGTTTTTTTAATTAAAATTTTTTTTACTATTTATCTTGTACAAATTTTTATTCTTAGTTGGCGCAATTTTTTTATATCACTATTTTTGTAGACAATATGACAGTTGGATACAATTAGTGCATGAACTTGGCGCCCTTTTTTTACCTTTTTTTAAAAAGGTAAGTTTTTGATTATATCACTTCTTTTTTAAGTCTAATTTGCTAAGAGATATTATATTAAAAAGAGTATGTATATACATATATATATATATATATATATATATATATATATATAAATGTATATTCTTTTAATATATAAGCAAATTATGTAAAAATATAGAATAAGTATATATAATATACATTATATATATATATTATATACAGGGTGGGGCATCTAAAACAGGCAACCTGAATAACTCGGCTGCTTTCGGTGACAGAAAAAAATACTTCACACTATATTTGCTTAGTTTTACGAGAACTATAACCTGAATCAATGGGTTTTTTGTAGATGAAAAGGTGGAAGAGCTACGAAGGTTAACTTTGATTGTTTAAATGGAACCACCTACTTTTTATTGCATATTGTTGCAGCTCATCTCGAAAGTTTTCCAAAACACTATAATTAAGTTAGTTTTCATTAAGTACTTTCCGAGTTATGAGACTTGAAATCACTTCTTAATTTTACATAAACCGTAAAATATCTTGTAAAATATTCATTTTTCGATTATCTTATCTTAATACTTTTATGTACAAAATAATGAGAAGAATCAATTGCATGTAAAGAAGACATATAGTTATTTTTGAGAAAAAATATGTAATTGTTAATTGCAAATTACATATTTTTTCTTAAAAATAACTATGTGTTTTCTTTACACCAATTGATTCCTCTCATTATTTTGTACATAAAAGTATTAAGATAAGATAATCGAAAAATGTATAATTTATAAGATATTTTATGGTTTATGTAAAATTAAAAAATGATTTCAAGCCTCATAACTCGGAAAGTACTTAATGAAAACTAACTTAATTATAGTGTTTTGGAAAGCTCTCGAGATGAGTTGCAAGAATATGCAATAAAAAGTAGGCGATTCCATTTAAAAAATCAAAGTTGACCTTTATAGCTCCTCCACTCTTTCAAAAAAACCATTGATCTCAGGTTATAGTTCTTGTAAAACCAAGCAAATGTGGTCTGAAGCATTTTTTTTCTATCACCGAAAGCAGCTGAGTTATTCAGGTGGCCTGTTTTAGATGCTCCACCCTGTATAATAATGTATGTACACAAATAAGTTTTATCTTTTGCTTTATGTTATCCCTGTACAAAATAAAATATATGACACTATTTTATGACGAGTTTATAATCTGATATCTGAGATTGAAGAAATCTGGAGGCTTGTTTTAGTGGCGAAATGCCAATAAATTGGAAAAACGATACACGTCTGTGTGGAAAAACAACTGGTGCGTGGAAATTGCGTCATATACAAGAAATAAAGTGCTATGTATATGAAAAGTCGACGATAAAAACGGTCTCAGCGTAGTACAATAAAAGAAATAATAATGCAAAGAACTGTTTGCGCGACAAGCCATTTCGTGGCAGTAATCAAATATGATGATGATAATTTTTATTTCTTCACTTCGAGCGACCATGCGTTTCGATCAGCGACAGCAAATGCCTCCCTGGAGTAACGTTTAAAATGAACTTTCTTTGTGATAGCTCGGAAGAAATTCAACTCACAATCAGATATAAAAACATTCGTGTCATACATGAAAGCTCGCAAAACTCAGAAAACACGCACAAGTTTTTTCAGCAGTTGATAAACGTATTTTGACATGTGTCAAATTATAATTTTTATTAATGATATTCAAAATTTGAGATGTATAATTTGATATTAAGTAACAAATGTATTGGCATTTTTCATTTACATGGATATTATTTGATTAATAATAAATAATATTTAAAACTAAAGAATCATGAAAAAGTAGAATTTAATATTTTATTTAACACACACATACACACACACATGAGAGAAAAGGGGGAGGCGAAAGGAAGGGGGAGGGGAGGGAGAGAGGGGCAAGGGGAGGGGAGGGGAGAGGGGGGAAGGCGAAGGGAAAGGGGAGAGAGGGAGGGGAAGAGAGGGAGGGGGAGAGAGGGAGGGGGAGAGGGAGGGAGGAGAGAGAGAGAGAGAGAGAGAGAGAGAGAGAGAGAGAGAGAGAGAGAGAGAGAGAGAGAGAGAGAGAGAGAGAGAGAGAGAGAGAGAGAGAGAGAGAGAGAGAGAGAGAGAGAGAGAGAGATTTGAATATATCAGGAATAGATAATGAATCCTATGGCGATATGCAAACGCATACATTTCATTGGTAATATGAGCTAGGCGTAGTCTTTCAATCAACATTCGAGGCAGTTGACCGCAGATCAACAGATAATCGTATTAACCGGAAGAGCCGCTAATAAGTACACTGTAAGCGACCCACTACGACGAATGCGTCATTGCGGTCGGCCGATAGCTAGTCAATGGACAATCACGATACTTCCTAATGGATTTGTCGTGATTAAATAGTGGAGGAACATGATACATGGTCGGACGCGAGATACGCTCTCGGTAAGTAGTAAATGGATGTTTGTAGTCAGCCGCGTTATAGCATCACTTAAGTGGTAAAGAGACAGTTTTGATTGGACATGAACGCAAAGAAGTTCGATCTTATTCGGATTCAAGTATATAGTATAAATCTCGCCAAATAATTGAATAATTATAATAATGCTTATGTATATATATATATACAGGGTGGACCAAAAATCTGGACACAGTCGAATA